AAATAAAATCTTTAAAAAAAAAAAAAGACTAATGGGGTCACGTCAAAAGGACACGGGCCCAGCTTGATGACTAAACCTGAGATAATTTGAGACTCAAAAAGCATACTGAAGTAATGGGTCCTAATGTATCAAAATAAAACAATCCATTAGTCTGCAGTGAAACTCAGGAAAACACACAGAGAGAAAGAAAAGAGGTAGAAAGGAAGCTTTTCTTTATAGAAGAATGTTGGCTGATGAATGTAGAAGAAAGAGTAGACTTCAGAAAGCCTCGATTCAAGCAAGGGTAATCAGCGGATGCTAAGCCACTGGGTAAAAGATTTTTGGGAAACTGTATATGAACAAGGTCTCAAAGTCTGTCCTACAAGTGACTTACTAATTACCAAAAGGAAAATGTATCTCTGGGGCAGAACTCTGGCAGCCACTACCTTAACCAAGTGGCCTAAAGTAGCATCACCAGGGGCGCCATCAACAGGTGGCTCAGTCAGTCAAGCGCCTGCCTTTGGCTCAGGTCATGATCCCAGGGTCTTGGGATGGAGCCCTTCGTGGGGCTCCCTGCTCGGCAGGGAGTCTCCTTCTCCCTCTCCCTCTGTTCATGCTCTCCCTCTCTCTCTCTCAAATAAATAAATAAAATCTTTAAAAAAATAAATAAAGCAGCATCACCAGTAATGCAAGTGCCCGATGCATTTACCTCCTGGTATGATGCAATAAGAAATACACAACATCATCGGTCCTTGGAGCACTTCTGGCAAACCCAGATCTAATGATAAGGACACAATCAGATACCAAAGAAAACTAGCTTGGACTCTTCAAAAAGCTCAACCCGGTGAAAGATAAAAAAGACAAGGGACTATTTTAGGTCAAGAAACGAAAAGAGACATGATAACCAGAAGAAATATGTGAACATTGATGGAATCTTGAAAGAAAAAAAAAAGAAAGCCATGCAGAATTGGGGAAAATGTTACGATGCACCGCGTCTTAGGTATTACAGCACTATTGCTCATTTTCTTTGGTATGATAATGGCACTGTGGTTTTAGGGGAATGCTATCATCCTTCAGAGATGCCTGCTGAAGTTTGTAGAGGTGAAGTGTCATGTCTGCAACCTACTTTCCAATGATTCAGCAAAAATGTGTGTGTGTGTTAGAGTGAGTGTGACTGTCACAAAGTTTTAATACAATTAGTTGATATAGAAAAGTTCCAGGTGTTTCAGGGTTTTGTAGGTTTTAGGGGGAAAAACCAGATAGGAGGGGGCCAAAAGCAGAGCCCAGGGCCACTAGAGACCTCTATCGGGGTGGAAACTGATCAATATCCTTTCAGCTATGTGTCCTCCGACCTGCACTCCTCAGCCCACAATCCTCCATATTATCCACAAGAATATTATGAAACGGTTGTGAGAAACCTTGTTGAAATCAAGGTACTAGCTACCGCATTTCCTTTGGGCTTCTCCTTACCATTCTTAACCGGAACAGGGGCTGGTGAGTGGCACGTGCTCAATTAGCAGCTGGTGGGTGCCCGGATCTCTGCATCAGCTCGCTCCCCAAATGGCAGCGAGGCTGGTGTGCCCCCGTGTCTTGGCAACACACGGGTTGTCTGGCTGCTCTGCTCATCCCTGAGGAGAAGAGGCAGAGGCTGATGCGGCCTCGCTTGGTGGGTAATTACACCCTGTTCGTGGTTGCTCAAATGCTTCAAGTATGTCGTATGCCAACTGGGTAGCGAGTCTCTTGAGGACAGTGACTAGACATATCTTTGGAACCCCCACTGCCTAGCATGGCACTCTAGCAGGGCTGACGAAATGAGGGACCTGGAGGAGTACCCTCCAATCCATGCCCCCAATATGGCAACCTCGGCCCTTGTGGGCTCCTCTGTCTTCCGTTAGCATGCTAATTTGTTCTCCCCCAGACTAGAAAAAACAGGAGGATGACTGACTGAGAGAGACCTCATTTGAGCTGACTTCCTGTGGGATAAAGAGTGGTTCCCAAGCCAACGCTGTGTGCCCTGCTCCCCTCTGCCACTCTTGGATGTAGGCAAGTCTTTCTTGGCCAGAACATCGGGGTTTATAAAGAGCTCAGGGGCGGCTCGGAAAGGCAGCATAAGAGACGAAGAGAAAAGCAACGCTTCTGTGCCCCCAGCCAGCAAGATGAAGTCGTCAAGCCTGGCCCTCTCTTTCCCCATTCACACTCACACAGCCCTTGCCCTTTCCATCCTCCCATCCTCCCCTGGGTTTCTTCTCTCTGTCTCTCCCTCCCAGTCTCTCCTTTTCTCTCCCTCTCTCTGGCACAGACACAGACACACGTAGAAGGAAGACAAAAACACAAAAATGAGAGATAAAATGTGTACAAGAATATATCCAAAGGGGCCAAATGAAACTTCTCGATGGTGAGAGATGTTCAGACTAGGGGGCACATGCCTAGTAGGCAGAGAAGGAAACTTTAGGGATGGCCAGAATATTCTCTATCTTGATCTCGGTGTTAGTTTCACAAGTGTATACAAATGTTAACATGTTTTGAGCTGTACACTAAGGATCTGTGCATTTTCCGGTATGTAAATTCGTATCTTATACCTGTTATCATGGGAAAAACAAAAAACAAAAACAAAGAAGCCAAAAGGTTAAAAAACAACAACAACTCACCTGTAGGATCAGGTGGGAGAAGAACAAAATGTGAAGAACTACAGGGGCACCTGGGTGGCTCAGTCAGTTAAGCATCTGACTCTTGATTTTGGCTCAGGTCATGACCTCAAGGTCATGGGATCGAACCCTGTGTCGGGCTCCGGGCTCAGCATGGAGTCAGCTTGGGATTCTTCTCTCTCCCTCTGTCCCTCCCCTACTCATACACTCTCTAAATAAAATCTTTTTTTTTTTTTTTTAAGATTTTACTCACTTGAGAGAGAGAGAG